TTTTTTGAGACAGAGGGTACTTTGTCACCCTCAGTAGAGTGCTGTGGCATCATAGCTCATAGCAACATCAAACTCATGGGCACAAGTGATCCTCATGCCTCAGTGACCCAAGTAGCTGGGACTACACGTGCTTGCCACAATGCCTGGGTGTTTTTAGAGATGGGGTCTCACTCTTTTTCAGGCTGGTCTCAAACTCCTGAGCTCAAGCAATCCACCCTCCTCAGCCTCTCAGAATGCTAGGATTACAAGTATGAGCCACCGTGCTGGCCAGAAGTGATCTCTGTAACAGACCTACATAGAGTCACTTTGAAAGTGTTTTTGTTTTCCTGGGAGCCAGTATAGAGGCCTCGTGATGGAGGGAACAATGTGATTGTCCTTCATTGTGTGTTTTCCCTACTTGATATGTGACATGGTCTTGATCTGTTCTCCACATCAGTCAGTTACTTGTTTCTCTCTCCACATCCTTGTGAGAGATGTTTTCAAAACAACAACAAAAACCGAACAAAAATGTCCCCAGAATTCTACAAATTCAAACTTAATGTTTTCCTGCAGGAGCCTCCTCCCTGAGCTCCATTTTCAATTATGTTTTTTGGCTGAAATGTTACTGTATGCACCTCCCACTTCAGGGTGTAGGGTTCCCAGCTCCATTTTCTGGAACTCAATCATTGTTACAAATGAGAGGCTTTTGTTCCTGAACAGCTCACAGGGTACATGTATGTGAACAAATAAACAGGTAGGTATTTGTTGAGTGATTACTGTATGCCCTGTAGGCTCCTAGGAGTGTGGGAAGGGCAAAAGTAGTTTCCTTCATTTATGGAACTTACCAACTAGCTGCCAAGAAGGAGCAAAAAACACTAAGAAGGTCAGTGCCAAGCTGTGAATCCCTGAATGTGAGTCCTTTTTCTGCCCAGAGATAAAGGAGGGTCAGAGTAGTCAGGAAAATTCAAGAAAGTGACATCTCAGAGATAAAATGTTATAAAAGAAATAAACACTGAGATTTAGGGAGTGTTGAACTGAGTTTATGACCAACCAAGGCAGGAAAAACCTCCATCAACACAAGTTTTGTTCTCGGGGACAGGGCCTTTCCATGAACCGTCGAAGAGTAACCCAGGGATTTACTTGCCCATAGGTACACTCAGAAGTGGAGACAATTTGTGGGGCATAATACCAAATGAAAACATGGAGTCCCTTGTTGAAAAATTATTAAGAATTTCAACATGGTGCCTGCGGAGAACTAAACAGGTGTGGCACCCTTCTGAGCATAGGTGCTGGGTGGCTGCACTGCTCTTAAGCCAGGAAGCTGGCCCTGGCCACATTCATCCAGACCAATACAAGGGTGTGGTTTATAAAGGCAGAAGCCACAATGTTGCACAGGGGAAAGTGGTTGGTTGAGGCAAGTCCTTGACTTCCCACTTATGGATCTTTGGTCCTAGGGAGTTTATTATGGGCTGATTTCTGAGCCTCAAATCTGCTGAGTCTAGGCTAGAAGTAGGGCTAGTAGTTATGAGTTCACCACTTGCCCTCCCCACCTCCACTGTTTATCTGCTAATTCAGGCTGGTCTTCAAGAAGGGATTGTTAAGATCCCTTTTGCATTCTGAATACTTGCTATCTTAGCCCTCCAGGGTCAAGGTCCTGTAGCGGGCAATTGAGCTCCATGAGCAATTTCTTTATCATGAGGTAGGTCTTGGTGACAAGATGGATTTGGATCAGTGGAAAGGATGAGGAAGCCATATAAACAGAGGCCTAACATGAAAACAGCTATTGACTCAGAGAGTGAGCCAGGTGGGGACATGGGTGTGGGTCAGGGCATGGAAGGGCTGGGGCTAGATGGGAGCTGGGGCAAGGCAGAGGCTGGAGGGACTGGAGAGCTTCATGCAGTAGTGGGTGCAGGGCAGGTAGGTTGCCCTGTTGCTCCCAGCTGGTGCCTCTGGGCTATGCCTGTAGGGCCAGGTTGCAACAGACAGAGCAATCATAGGATCAGAGCCTATCTGGGGCAAAGGGGAGGTGTCCAGAGCCCTCATGTGAGGCCCAGGGCAGAGGTGACTTTTGGGGTCTGAACTAACCCTGGAACCAAAGCCTTTTCACTTTTCAGGTCCAGACCTCCTCCCCTGCACCAGCTTGCCTTTTGCTGAAGACTGAGCACCATTGATCCTTCTCTGGCTCTTGGTCCCCTCTGGGAAGCTTGAGCACTTTGACCACCATCCCCTTCCTCCCACAGGAGGCTGTCTGTGTGTCTTCCTAGGTCTAACCTTGAGCCCTGTCACATCCCTGTGCCCACCCAGGCACACACCACCATCTCTTAGGGATGATTTAGTGAACAAGAAGAACTTGGCAATAGAATTGATGATAACAGACATGTTTAGATTTCTTTTCCTAAAGAACTGGGGCCTACTTTTGGTGTCTTGTGAATGTTTTTGAGGACCTCGGCTTTGATTTCTAGGTATTTGGTTCTCTCCTCTATGACCAGAAGGCCTAGTTTCCAGAGGCTGCTCATTTGATAGTGTTTCATAAAAACCAGAGGAAACAAACAAGCAAACAAATCCAGCAATCCTGCTCCTGGGTATCTACCAAAGGAAAAGATATCATTGTAGAAAAAGGGTATCTGCACTCAGATGTTTATCACAGCGTAATTCACAATTGCAAAGATAAGTAATCAACGTAAGTTCTCATCAACTGATGAGTGGAGAAAGAAAATGTGGTGTTATATATACACCATAGAGTGCTACTCAGCCATGACAATGGAATGAAAGAATGTCTTTTACAGGAACTTGGGTGGAACTGGAGACCATTGTCCTAAGTGAAGTGTCTCAGGAGTGGAAAAACAGACACCACATGTTCTCACTGTGCACAGTCCATGAAGGATATGTATGGTCATAATGAGCTGTAATGGACGTTGGGTGCTAAGAAGGGGGGAGGCGGGAAAGGGGGGGTTGGGATGAAAATCTACCTATTTAGTATAACATACGCTATTTTGGCGATGGGTAACATTGAAAGACCTGACTTCAGCATGATACAGTTTACCCAAGTAACAAAACACTTATACCCTCTAAATTTCTTGAAAACAAACCAAAACAAAGACAGGTCCACTGCTCAAAGCATGCAGTTCTTACCTATAGACCCAAGAAAAGCAGCCTGGAGGCCTCAGGACCCGTTATTTTGATGCTGGTGGCTAGAGTGGACTTTTCGGGGTAGACTTTAACATTGAAATATAACAGGCACACATTACAAATTAGGTTTTATTTACATATTTACTTCTTGGTGGGTACTGACAAATTATATTGTGTATATTTATGGGGTACAAAGTGATGCTATGATATATGTATACAATGTGGAATGATTGACCCAAGCTAATTAACATATCCATTATCTCAAAATACTTATCATTTATTTCTCCTAACTGAGATTTTGTACCCTTTGACCAACACCTCCTCATTCCCTCAACTCCCTAGCCCCTGGCAACCACCATTCTGCTTTCTGCTTCTCCATGATTTATTTATTTATTTATTTATTTAGATTCTGCCTACAAGTCAGAACATGTGGTCTTTGTCTTTCTGTGCCAGGCTTGTTTTATTTAGCATAATGTCCTTCAGGTTCCTCTGTGTCACAATGATATAATTTCTCTCTTTTTAAAGACTGAATCCTATTCCGTTGTATATATACACCACGTTCTTTATCCATTCATCTGTTGATGGATACTCAGCTTAATTCCACTGATGCTGCAGTGAACTTGGCACAGGTATCTGTTCAGCATACCGAATTCAGATCATTTGGGTATATTCCCAGCAGTGGGATTGTTTGATCCAATTACTGGGTAACTCTATTTTTAGTTTGTTGCGGAAACTCCATACTGTTTTTCATAATGGCTGTATCAATTTACATTCCCAACAGGGTAATAGGGTTCTTTTCCTTGTAAGGAGCACTATCTTGAATGTACAGCTCTTGATGAATCTCTACCCTCTGTAACCAGCACCCAGATCAAAACATAGAACATTATCAGGGCTATTTTTTAAGGTGCTGACTTGAACTGTCCTGTTCCATGAAAAGAAAACCACAGTCTCTGCTTTCTGAGCCAGCCAGAGATTGTCTTCTGGGATCACACCCATCCCGCCCCACTTCCACGTAGCAGAGAGCAGGCATTGAGAACATAGGACTGAAGAAGGGGGTAGTGGGGACACCAGTCAGGTAAAGGCAGCTGGTACAGGTGGTGGGCAGGTGATGGCAGAAGAGGGCAGAGGTGGCAAGTGAAGTTGGGAAGTGGAGCACCTAGAGACCGACTTCTCCTGCTCCATGGGGAGCTCAGGGAAAAGGATTCAGAAATCCAAGAGAGCAGAGAGAGCTGGGGAATGGGAGGAGAAAGCGGCCTGCGGATGTACAGGGCGCATTCTCGGTGGGAGTTGTCGGTCAGCCGCTGTTCACCTGGAGGTACCCACTGTCACATCAATGACCCTGAGCATGAGGGAATGATGCGTAAGCTGAGATTAAATTAAGGTGACCAGATTTTAACATTGGTAAAGCGGGACACCATTGATGGGGTGGGGTAGGGTGGGGCTATTGGCTGAGCTGTTTATGGTTAGGGACCCTCT